GTTTTTGAAATTTGTCACTGAGCTAACAATCGTCATAATTAAGGGCGTTTTGCAGCTCAGCGTTGGTAACGTCATATGCGACCGCCATTTACCTTTATTCCATAAATAACACATGCCACGTATCTGAAAATATATTGGTTCATTTGACTACATAGGAGATGCAGCGGTGGGAACGAAAGGTGGGAATAGTCCCGTATTCTTCCACTATTATGTCTATTACTTTCGACTTCTTCTAAATAAGGTCATCCAGGATTTTAAAACTGATCTCGAACTTTTAAATCTTTCCATTACTCGCTAAGTAAGTGTTACTAAATCTTTGTTTGTCACCTGTCATCCGCTTTGCAGTAGAGGGAAGTCGAACCTTAACTTCGAACTCCTCCTATGTTCTTCTGATGAGTTGCCGTTTGGCGATCGACGGTACGCGCATAAGGCGCCCGATCAGTGGCAAACCCAACTAGAGGGTTGCAAAAACTTGACCTTTACTGGTTTGGTTTTTATTGGCGGTCAAGCTGTAGATCCTGGCTACACAGGAGTTGCAGCGGTGGGAACGAGAGGTGATAATAGTCCCGTAAGTAAGTGTTACAAAAGATATTCATAGTATTTACCTCCAAATCCCTTATACTTCTCAAGAACGTAACGTTGCCTCGGAAGAATGTAGTGTTCGTTGTGTCGTTGTATACCTCGAATTTGAACAGAACCGGTCTCTTCGGTGAATAAGGGAGAACTGTTTTGTTGCACTCCTGAACTCCTTCAGCTATGGTTCTATAAGGTCCCTAAAAACACAATTTACGAAAAAAACGGTGAAGATTAGAAATGAAAAATACTTACTAGGAGTCACTGTACCACAAAAAGCACTCATCATCTTCATCATTTCAGCCACAGGACGTCCACTACTGAGCATAGGCCTGCCCCAATGATGGTTGGTAGCGGCCTGCGTCCAGCGCCTTCCTGCTACCTTTACAGACCATAATTTACGGGAAAGACGCGACGAATAAACACAGGGTTATAAGATACCACAAAGACGAAAGCACTCATCATCGTCATCATCATCATCATTTCAGTCATAAGACGTCCACTGGTGAACATCGGCCTACCCCGATAATTTCCATGTTGACCGGTTGGCAGCGGCCTGCATCCAACTGCAAAAATCAACAAGCACTTAGTGAAATTAAATACCAACTTTTTCCTTTGATCGTATTCGAGCAGTAAAACCCGATAAAGCATTAAGTAATAAAACTCCAAAAACTATACAAATCTTCATGACCATTCAATCATTGATTAGAAATAGACGTATTCTTACATGTATCACTAATTATGTGTTTTATTTAAGAAAAAAAAGAATTCGGCAGATTTTATAAAATCATAATTATTTAAAGTTCCGAAACAGCACAACACAGTGTTTTCGATTTGCCTAGTCATTGTTTTTGTTTTTCCATTTGTACTAAACGAAACCAATATAGGTAGGTACTACCTTATTGTTTATAGGAAACAAATTTTTGTCTGTTTGTTGCACAGTGTAGTAAAATGTACCAACAATCTGCCAGTTATTCTAATAATATAGATAAATATTTCTCATTTAAATAAAATAAAATCCTTGAACATTTTACACTGCTCCTCTAGTCCCAAACTAAGCAAAGCTTGTACCTACTATGGGACAACAGATATGAATATTTTTTTTGTAAATAATCCTACATAATTATAGATAGAAAAACACCCAAACCAATACAAACAAATGTTTGTACTAAGCGGGAATCGAACACGCGAGCTCGGTATAGTAGTCCACTACACAAAATGTATATGTATTGTTAGAAGGTACCATGTAAAGACATGTCCTCTAAGCCCAAAATTGCGACGAGCAGAGCCGCAGTATCGGAAGAGTATTAGATACCCACTTATCTAATGCCATCAGTTTAGGCATGTTTATTACAAAATAATTGCATAAAAATACGAGTACCATATAGGTACGGTATAAATGTAAGCATAGGCGCAGACCATCGACTTTTAGTACGCCGATAGTTGGGCTTAATTTTATCCTTCATGATTCACCAACATTCTATCCTATATTGGGAGCATACGCTGACAAACTTTCAGCTTTTATAAAATGACGTAGGTATGGCGTTCACTAGCTCTTTAGTCTAATAAATCTATACTAATTTATAAATGCGAAAGTAACTCTTGTCTGTCTGTCTGTCTCTCTTTCACGCCTAAACCACTGAACCGATTTTGATGAAATTTACCTAGTTTGAGTCCCGGGAAAGGACATAGGATAGTTTTTATCCCGGTTTTTGAAACAGGGACGCGCGCGATAAAGTTTTTCTGTGACAGACAAAATTCCACGCGGGCGATGCCGCGGGCGGAAATAATAAATAAATAAATAAATAAAAATACTTTTATTAAATAAACACTTTACAATTACAAGATATGTGCCGCTCTCGTATAAGGTTAACCTGTGTAACGAGAGTCAAGAAAGCTAGTTTTGATTTGGTAATTTTTAAAGTTTAGTTTTTTTTTTACATGTAGGTATACGTGTATTAGTAAAGCACAATAATTTTCAAAACTGCCAGATTCTACTGGCGTGGATTATACCTTCCCTGTGACATACGGATACAACGCAAGATTAATGTGAAGCAAAGTTCTCGAATCTACGTCGGGGTAAATCATTCCGTTTGGGAACATACACCCCCGGGGACACCTTTGTTAAGCAGCGCGTAACATTAGTGCCATGGCTTAGTGGCGGCCATTTTAACGCTAGGTCCCAGGTTCGGAGTTAGTAGAGTCATAAAATTATGAACTTTAGATTGGGTCACCTACGAGTATATCATAATGGGACACCGAGTCAAGTCCCATATAATGTGGATAATATGCATCGTGACAATATTAAATGCCGGTTATCAAAGATAGGCCATCCATCTTTAAGCACTGGATTCATATTCACCTACATGGACCCAGAAACCGATTTTTTCACTGATTTATGTCACTACTAACTTAGATTTTAAGTATAATATTGTTAATAACACAACTCTTTATGGATCTTAATGGTCTGAAATAAATTAGGTACTATATATTTATTTATTTAAATGTGAGAAATGGAACACAAATTAAATGAAAGAGAGAGGAGTGTGAGTTGGAGGAGAAAAAGGAAGATGGCGGATGGATGCAAGAGTGAAACGTGCGTGTAAAAGGTAAAATAAATACACGCCATAATATATTTCACGGTTTTATTTCTCCCACATTTCCCTGATGTTAAAATCAAAAACGCACTAACCAATAATATTGTTTATTTCCATTAGCAAATATTGTCTGTAAAAACGGGGCAGCAGAGTGAAACGCAAAGAACATTCAAAAAGCAAATAGGTACATTGAAAATTCCGTGTGAAAGCACTCTCTACAATGCATCGTCAAGAAAGAATTCTTTCCATTTCCTCTACACCTTTTTCCTTCTATAACACTGTTTCGTACCGAAATATATTTATTAGTTTCTTAATTTTAGTTTAAGATAAAACAACACAAACTGGAAGGAATTTGCTGTTTTCTTAATTGCATTTTTTAATCACAAACTGGCAACATTCTTTCCAATCTTATGTAGCTAAGGCTCGCGATTGCGATTGCGACGCCCCCCGTGACGCAAGAGTTTTGAGTTCGGAAGGACGCCCGTGCGCATCAGCGGTGTGTTCTTTAATTCGGCAACCACATAAGCGTTTGTCAATTTCCAAAATCAAGTGAATCTAATGAGTGCGGGATCCAGCCCCTATGGAACTATGGTCTTTTTTACCAATAGGTATGTGCTAATACTTCACAAGCAAACTGCATATCGAAGATACGCCGGGCCCGGCTAAGCACGCGGCTGGCACTGTGGAGAAGAGGTTTGTTCGCCGTTTGTTTTGAAATTTTAGTATAGCTAACACACACAATTATGAATAATTATATTTTTCTTATATTATGACATTATATTATTGACCTCATAAAGGTAGCAGGAAGGCGCTGGATGCAGGCCGCCACCAGCCAGTCATTGTAGAAATCATTGGGGGACGCCTATGTTCAATAGTGGACGTCTTGTGGCTGAAATGATAATGATGATGATGATTAAGGTATGGCATTTAAGTAATAAAGCTGCAGTACAGGAGGAATGACGACGGATCGTAAAGCTCGCTGATCAAACCAGATGTAATGACCACAGACAGTCGCTCTATCAAAAGTATAGCGACGGAGAAGAAGAAAAATACTTGGTATTTTAAAACTAATTGGACTCTCTTTCGGCAGGACAACTCCCTGAGATGAACATATTTACTTATATTACATTTTCTGAAAGGTTTTCTAACAAGGAAAGATTATAAGGTTACAATCCGGTGTGAGTAGCAGCCAATATTTTGCGTTTGCCTGTCCTCTGACAGTCGTACGAGATACACCTTGGTTTTTCTCAACGAATCTCGTTGTCATGTTAGTAAGTTTATGCTCTTTGACTGGTTTATACATTAATAAATTAGCTTTAAAATTCGTGCATTTACATGTATAGGCGGGTACAGCAGCGTCAAATTTCCAAAAGCTCGTGACACCCAAAGTAGCTAAAAAGTTCGCAACATGTCTTTGTTACAATGAGGGCTATCGTTTTTATACTTAACAGTTGGCACCCCTGACGATTGACAGGACCTTACTCTACAGTGGCGCCATCTTGATGAGTGCAAATACGATTAGTCCTCCTACCACTTTCGCGCTCACCAGTTGATGCCACTGTCTTCGCTACTAGCAAGTGACAGGACCTTACTCTACAGTGGCGCCAACTGGTGAGCGCTAAAAGGATAGCCCTCATTGGAATAAGGTTGTATTTTCAACTTTTTGGTCACTTTGGGTGTCACGAACTATTGGACGCTGACTGTACCCTCTCCGTGCACCCGCGCGAGTTTTAGCGGAGAGCTTTATATCATTGTTCCATAACGTATTTGAAACTTTTTACAGTCGCCATAACATTAAAAAAACTAGCAAATGTCATTTGTAAATCCTGACAGTTCGTCACAGCAAAGTTTTCAGATCATGTTTTCCGCGTCTTCAATTTAATTGCCAGAAGTATTGCCAGAAGTAACTTGCCAGCATGCCGAAAAGTACCACAGAAGAGCTGACGAAGTCTAGCGACAAGCGTGGGAGGAGTTCCAGTAGGAGTTCAACGCATGCTCCTCTCCATTTTGCTGTCCACAAGCCAGGGTGCCACTTTGAGAGCTGCTGTGGGGTCTGCAACCTGTTCCCTGGGGTACTCCTCATTGCATTTTGCCAGGTACCTAAGTGTTATTTACTTACCAGAAGCAATCTTTTCATAAAAGTACCTACATACCTTTGTTTGTCACCTGTAATCTGCTTTGCAATGGAAGGAAGTCAAACCTTAACTTCGAACTCCTCCTATGCTCTTCTGATTAATTTCGTTTCGAGTACAATGACAGTTTAAGTTTCCCCCAGGACAAACTTGACCTTCACTGGTTGGGTTTTTATTGGCGGTCAAGCTGTACCAGGATCTGTATCAAGGTCCTGGCTACACAGGAGTTGCAGCGGTGGAAACGAGAGGTGGGAATAGTCCCGTAACCAGTAGCAATAAGTTACAACAGTACAGTAGGGTCACTTAGCAAAAACAACGTAAAATTTCGTTCGTTTCTACCAATGTCTTATCACTCACGGAATTCCACAATGACTGGTCCTGCGCTGCCCGTACCCAGGTGATTTCCGTAATCTTCGCCAGATCGTGGATGCACTGAGTGGACCGAGTGGCTATGTGCTATTTTGCAAAAATAAAATGTTTAGTTTATTGACCGCCATTCTTCATTGAGCTTATAAATTTGATTGAGCTACTCGTAGATTTTTCTTCTTTTCCTTTTTGAATCGAATTTTAAAATTGTTCAGGTGCTTGTGGGATCCATTTTACTGACGCTGATTCTAACGCACGGAAAACAATACGACGAAATGCACCAAACTCCTATGTCGCAATGTAAGTAATGAAATACTATTACCCCTTCCTTCATCATCGTCATTAAATGTCAATAGTCTATGACCTTCTCTAGTAGACTAGCGGAAAACACCTATAGGATTTAGTTCGTCTAGAGTATAACAGCGATCAATATGACTATCCCTTAAATCGGAATTAAAGGGTTAATGAAGATTCTGGATATTTTTTTTTGCTTGTCTTTTCAGTCATGAGCATAGCGACTGGCGCGGTCCTGAGTGGCGTGACTGGCGCAGGAGTTCTGCTCATTGTCGTGGCTCTCACGGAGAATTGCCGTGCTATGCTGGTCAGAAGCTTTGCTAACTATACAGTAGGATATAGTAAGATAGGGTATGATGGGATGAAACTGTTTCACCCACAACGTGAAAGCTTTTGGCTTTTCTGATTATTTGAATATTTTCCATCTGTTCTCACCTGATGGAAAATGATGATCATACAATCAGAAACAACCACAGGGGAAAAAAATAGAAATATTTTTAACTAGTATTTTTTCAGTAGGTAAAGGCTACAGCAGTCTGTCTAGTATAACACAGAAATCTTTTTTTTTTCTAGGTATACCTCCTGGTAGCTGCAATGGTATGGATGAGCATACTAACGCTGGCCATGACCAAGATCGGTCGCGCCTGCATACGGTTCAAGGATGGTAAGCTACCCTATCTTCGCGAAATTGTCTACGAAAATAAAATCTATTTTCAGACATCTATCTGGATTTCGCATCTTTGGCATAGATACATAAGCATCGATTTCTGTTTTCTACAGAGAGGTATTTCTCCCACGTCTTGGTGAGGGCGCTACCGTGCTTCTACATATTAAGTGGAATCATTTAGCTATAAATTAGTTTAGTAATATAATAATTTTCGTTGTTGCAGCTGCGAAAATCAAAGATGAGCAACACAGGCTGGCTAACCTGGCTTGCGTCAGTGGTCTATTCACGTTCCTTGGGGCAGGTAAATAATATAGTAATAAGTCTTCATCATTCTTAGTTAGAGGTAATATAACAAGTTTGTATGTGGAAGGACTTTAAATTTTAAAGTCAGTCTCTTGAAATTTTTGAGGATCTAGAAACGCTCCTTGACTACATCGTCAGTCTATCGAGTGAGAGGCCTGCCTATAACTAAGTTTTCCAGTTCCTGGTCGCAACTCCAAAACTTAACTGCCCCAACAGCCATAATTTCTACGAGCCATATTATGTTCACGTGGTCTCTACTTGAGAACTTTTCTGCCCCAATAGCCATCAGTTTTAAGAGCTATATGTGCTGAAATGTAGTATACTTCGTTCGTTCGTTCGTTTCAGCTAAATGACGTCCACTGCTGGACAACGGCCTCCCCCAAGGTTTTCCATAATGAACGGTCCTGCGCTGCCCGCATCCAGGCTCTTCCCGCGACCTTTATCAGATCGTCGGTCCACCTAGTAGGAGGCCTGCCTACGCTACGTCTACCAGCCCGTGGTCGCCACTCGAGAACTTTCCTGCCCGTCGTCTCTACGAGCTATGTGCCCCGCCCACTGCCACTTGATTTTAGCAATTCTGCGAGCTATGTCGGTTACTTTCGTTCTCCTCCGGATCTCCTCATTTCTGATTCGATCACGCAGGGAAACTCCGAGCATAGCCCGCTCCATCGCCCTTTGGGTGACCTTGAGCCTTCTTATGAGGCCCGTAGTAAGCGACCACGTCTCAGATCCGTATACTGTATCCGTATACTACGAATCTGTAGTAGGTATACTGTTGAATTATTAAATAGCTTCTTTTGTTCCAGGTGTATACTTCTTCTCTTTCATCGTGGTGTTCAGCTTCTACCACTTCAGGTACGTGCGCCGCGCCATCTTGTTGCACGAAGCGGAGTGTGAATGACACTATTAGATTATTTTTATGTTTGGTAACTTCCATTATTATTTTAATACATCGTTATAAATTAATGACACTTTTATTCGTTAATTTATTTTTATTTATTTATTTTATTTATTCATGAATAGAACGGTAGTACCAATTACACCATTCAAACAAGACGTAACAAAGCTCAGAATAACATTTAAGTAATTAAAAACAATTTAACTTAACTTAATTTAGGAAAAGTACATAAATCAGATGCGATTATTTTCACAGTAACCTAAACATTCTGCTAGTAACGTACTCCACCCCTCTGCAAATACGCAACTTCATTTAATACAAACATTTGCCCGCGGCTTCGTTCACGTTGTCACTTATTGTTACAAATCATAGCCAATAATACTGTAAAGTTTCATCAAAATCCGTTCAGTAATGTTTTGAAAGAGTAACAAAATCTATACATACTTTTACGTTTAGTAGGATAGGATAATCTGAACAGGAAACAATGAAAATAATTTAATTTGCTTATCCTCGTAGCTCAGAATAGGAGGCAAAGAATTTTATTTATCATTCTATTATTTTATACGTAAGTAGGTACACAATACATTATTTATAGCCACACAAAAAGAAATATAAAGAAATATAACGCTTATTTTTTAAACGGGTCATATTTTCTATTCTGACCACGGCAGTAAGAGGAAAATATTCGTGGGTGCGTAAGAGCCAAAGCACACGATGCGTTGCGGCGCCGCACCTCAAAGATTTCACCGTATCGTCGCACCGCTTATGTACCCGCCAAAGATATTTTCTGCCGCACAATTTATAAACGCAGTAAGTACCACTTACTGCGTTTATGATTGTTTTGAATATTCAGAATCCTGACATCGCGATCTATAAGAATCAAAGACCCGTTTTTTTCTATCTATCTTAGAACGGAAGATACATGTTATCATAAACGCAGTAAAGAGCAGATTGTAGGTTTCTTCNAGACTAATAGGGTGATTTGCAGTTGGTTGGGGTTTGAGCCACTAAAGCAGTGGTTTACCCTAGTAAATTAGCTCTCTTGATCATAGATACTTTGATATTTGGATAGCGGGTTTGGCTGAGATCAGGTTCTCGTGTATTTCCTAAAGGCGAGCGTACCAATGTGACGATAAAAGTACCCTTAACATGTATTTTTGAGCTCTTTGGATGCACATAGTTAATGTTGGATTAGTTGACTGTCGGTGGAATATTATATTCAGTACTGTTTTATTTATATTTATGGTCTTTCCATGTCATCCTACGGTCCAGGATTTTAATGCAGGTTGATTACAGCAATGTGTCGAGGTCTAGATTGGCCGGAGGATAAGTTTCACGTCTTAAATGATAATTATGGTGAGACTTCGGGGCTTAATTACATGCGCCACTTGGTCAGCCAAGCAGTTGACATTGCAACAGTCTAGTCACTATAAGATCACAGTTACATTTGAGGAATGCCGCAGCTTTCTGGTGTCTGGGCTACTTTACTAAAGCCCGGTCCGTGAGCACGTAGAATTTTGTACAATGACCCCTAGCTACCCATCCTTATCGCTCGCGCGTAATTATATTGCTGTCGCGACTGTGCGACTGGCACCCGCAGTGAGTGTACGAACGCGATAGCAATATAATTACGCGCGAGCGATAAGGATATTAAGGATGGGTAGCTAGGGGTCATTGGACAAAATTCTACGTGCTCACGGACCAGACTATAGTAGATGTTATAAAGTATCGGACCAAGTACAGAGTCCTGGGGTACTCCAGCTCTGCAGCTAAAAAGAGAAGATTTTGTCACCGAGTTTGAAAACTATCTGTCACTGAGATAAGAATCCATCAGCAGGTAGGTAGTAGAAGTGTGCTAGAAGGTACTTTTTAATTTCATAGAGTAGTCCTTTATGATAAATAAACCCAGCTGAAGCCGCAGCGAATGCAGACGTACAGGATTCTTTCTTTTCCAAACATTGTACTGATTATGGTTGGTATGGTTTCTGCCAAAATTTATGGTCGGGTATACTATATTACATGGGTCATACTTAGAGGCAAGGGAATAAACGAGCAAGAATGATCCTTTTCTATAATTTTAACAATACAAATGTCAGATTAATTGAGCGATAAGAGAATTCGTTAGGCGACTTGACAGCCTTACGGATCATTTCCAAAGTTAAGAGACTTGCGAGGTTCTTCTCACTCAGTGTGGTCATTGTCAAGACCATGGACTTTATGGTGATCAGATCAAATGCAAGTGCTTTACGAGGGTCCATTTTGGCTATTTCTTTAGCTTAGCCATTTCTCTTAGCGTTAGTTCTTTCGTTTCAGCCGAAAAACGTCCTGCGCCGCTCGCATCCAGGCACTTCCTGCGACCTTCTCCAAATCGTCGGTCCACCTAGTGGGAGGCCTGCCCACGCTACGTCTTCCGGCTCGTAGTCGCCGCTCAAAAACTTTACTGCCCCAGCGGCCATCAGCTCTACGAGATATGTGCCCCGCCCACTGCCACTTGATTTTAGCGATTCTGTGGGCTATGTCAGTCACTTTGTCCTCCTGCGTCTTTCGTCCTCAATTAGCGTAGTAGGAATCAATCTTCTACTTTGAACTTGAGGAGGGTAAGCGGAAACATGGCGGTCAAATCCTCAGATAGTCAAGTACAAAGATATCCAGTAGCAGCATACGAAAAGATGCAAAATGAGCCCTCTCAAATCACAATGGGAAGGTTTGGCAGCACAGCACCTAGAATGGCGGGAGATTGTGTTGTGTAGAGGTGAGTCCGCGAATTCAACGAGCAGCGCATAACTGAACTCGACGCAAAACGCGATGACGTAAATCCCGTCCATCTGCCGCCATTCACTATAATTATGTTGGCGGCGGGTAATTTACTCTCAATGTGCAAGGAGTTTATGTAAGCCATCTTAAGGCTATGTAAGCCATCTTCGGGCGCACCAGCGCCGCTAAGACAGCTAAGTCAAAGTGGTCACCATGACCGAAATCGGTCGGATGAATCATCATCATCAGTAGGAATCAAAGGCAGGCATAGCTGCAAGTCTCGGATCAAGTCCAATGCTTGATCTTTTTTTTTATTGAATTGTGGATTTTTTGAATTATCCGTGTCAATGGGTTTAAATAAACCGGCTTTTCATGTAGCAAAGGTCTGATATTTTTCTTGTCAGTTCGCACTCATGTATTACCGGACCTAATAAGCGGAGAACACTTTGAGGGAGGTACTTTGTTGCCTTCCAGAGGTTGTGGTTCCTATTTGCATTCCGAGACATATTTTCTAATCTCTGTGTGATTGATTCGCTTAAAGCAAGTCCAATAGTGTGGGTTATCTGCCAGACGAAGGCGGGTATTTTTTTCTTGACAGCAAGAGAGACCGGCGCCTCTCGCGATCAATTATTTACTAGACCAAGCAGTAACTTGAATAATGTACTTGATTAATTGTTAGTATATTAAGTTATCAACGGCATTAAGTTCGCCTTGTGTACCAATTTATATGGCATTAAAGAATAAATATTATAGTTAGTTCTTCTGTTATATGGTTTACTGATGGGTCAAAAATGGGCCCTAACGTAGGCTTTGGCGTGTATGGAGAGCAGCCGAAGCTTAGGCTATCTCAAAGCCTGAGTAAATTTGCCTCTATCTTTCAGAAGTCTACGCCATTATTGAATGTGCGGAAGCTAACCTGCGAATAATTATACCAACCACATAATTTACATTAACTCAGACAGTCAGGCCACGATGATGGCCTTAAACTCCAACTTAATCACCTCAAAGTTGGTAGAAAACTGCATGAGTCGACTGAATACCCTAGGAAAACGTAACAGAGTAACGCTGAGATGGGTTCCAGGTCACGCGGGAATCGTGGACAGTGAAAATGCCGACAAACTGGCCAGAGCGGGAGCGGAGGGAACACAATATGGTCCAGAACTCTTTTGTGGTATTCCCAAGTCTCGCTCGAATTACCCTGGAGAACAACTATTTAAACAAATCCTTTAAGGCATGGTCAGACACGCTAGGATTAACTCATTCCAAAACTCTTATAAAAGCCTATGACCGAAAATGCTCAAAGCAGATCATAGGACTGAGTAGGATCAAAATGCGCATATTAGTTCGAGCCTTCACTGGACACAGCAGCTTAAACAAGCACTTGTCCACTATAGAACTGTCCGAATCAAGAACGTGCAGGATGTGCCAACAGGCAGATGAAGCGCCACTACACATTCTCACGGACTGCGGACCTTTGATGCGCAAGCGAAGCTTACACCTGGGCAAACACATCCTAAGCCCACAAGATGTAAAACATATCGCCCCCCAAAAGATACTGCAATTCATAATGGATGCAGGACTCGGAGGCGAACTGTAAGGAAAATAGCGGCGATCACAATAGATCGGTACCGGTCGCAGTAATACTAGGACTTTATTGAATTAGAATAGCCGCTCAACTCAATAAAAAAGTAGTTCTTCTGCGTTTGAAACACAAATTAGTACAGTATAGGAGAGGAATAAATTTCAAATAGTTTATACAGTATCAGTATCGGCGCGCCGACAGCTAGTCGTCGGCGGCGGCGGCGTGAAAAAATTCGCGGCGGCGGCGGCGCGCCGGCGTGGCGCCCACCTCTAGTGCAAATACGATTAGTCCTCCTACCACTTTCGCGCTCACCAGTTGATGCCACTGTCTTCGCTACTAGCAAGTGACAGGACCTTACTCTACAGTGGCGCCAACTGGTGAGCGCTAAAACGATAGCCCTCATTGGAATAAGGTTGTATTTTCAACTTTTTGGTCACTTTGGGTGTCACGAACTATTGGACGCTGACTGTACCCTCTCCGTGCACCCGCGCGAGTTTTAGCGGAGAGCTTTATAATATCATTGTTCCATAACGTATTTGAAACTTTTTACAGTCGCCATAACATTAAAAAAACTAGCAAATGTCATTTGTAAATCCTGACAGTTGACGTCACAGCAAAGTTTTCAGATCATGTTTTCCGCGTCTTCAATTTAATTGCCAGAAGAATT